CAGGCCCTCCAATTAACTCAACCTTCACTTCAGGGACAGGTTTGATTTCAGGATGTTTATTCCCAGGTCATAAAGCTAGCCCTCTGGCTGCAATGCAATTATACTAAGTGGCTTCAAAAGTGTATTCAGAGAAAATTTCACCTGCTAATCATCCAAGAATAAGTACTCTAACACATTGCATCCCATCTTCTGTCCTCACAGACTTTGTTCAACATTATAAAGCCAGTCAATAGTTTAAAGCTAAGGGGTAAGATCTTGCACGCAGTGCTTCGGATTTACCACAACATTCATGTTCTTCCTGTGTCATGACTTGACAAATGCATTGAAGAAGTCCCCCAGAAGACTGAGCTACAAATCAGTCCTGACTGTAAGAAGGGGATTATGACAATGTAATCCTTATCTTCAGGAAGTCTACAAATGAAGTGAATTTCCTCCCAAGGGCGAGCTGTTACCCTCTTGTTTTTTTTAGAACTGTAAATTAACACCACAAAACTCTCTCTTCTGATGCTTACCAGAACTCCTTCTGCTGCCGTAACTAAGATTCACTATTTCAAAAATATGTTGCAAGAAAGTGTCCTGAAAAAGGACAGGGAAGAAGGGACTACGTAGTTAGATATCAACTAGAGAATAATATTGTGATGGTGTCCATGATCCACTGTGTTGTGACAATATGTGACTTTGAGGGCCTGAGATAGGGCTCCAAAGGCACTGCATTTGATTCTTGAATCTGTAGATCAGTCATCAGTACTATTAGACTGACTTCAGGCTTTTGCCCTGAAGGCAGATGAGATGACTGGCATGTTGTGGGGTGTTGTCAGACAATGGAAACCTTATTTTTTTTCTTTGGCAGCCTACAAGAACTGTAGTGGAAGAAGAAGCAGGACTGCAGAACTACTGCTTGATCAATAGCATTAAATAATGCCATTTGCACTTTCTTTTGGGTGTCAAGGCTATTCAGAGCATCACCCTGGAGTCTCTCAAGACTTAAACTTTGTTCTCCAACCTAGCCCACAGCTGGTCGAACCTCTCAGATGGTAGAACATCTCTACACTGCATTTAGACCTGCAATTATTACGCCTGCACAACTGTTGTATAACCACTGCAGCAAAAGGAAATCGTGTTGCTTGTATCAATAGCAACCTGTAAATTGTTGTCAGCTATAATTTACCTTGCAAATGACAAAAGGCCAGACAACACATCTGAGAACAAACTGAAGATATTTGAGGTACACAATCTATTTTCACACTTTAGATCCCTGAAAGTCATGTTTATATATGATGCAATTCTTACAGACTTGCCCAGGAGACCTGCAGACTTCTCACTGTCTATTTGAATTTTGAAAAAGAGATGACTATGAAGCATTTTCCTAGGAGGTAAGATTTTGTCAAGTAATCAGGATATATCAGATGGAATTATTCTAACTTTAGTCTTCTACCACAAGGATGTATACATTTGAGCTAATCAGTTCTTCAGAAACTGGACTTTTAATAGCCAGGTTTATCTCATCCTAAGATAAACTTCTAAAATAGGTTGGATGAATTAAGTATCATGAGTAAGATCTGCCATGTATTTATTCTCTCAGTCTTTCCACAAGCAAAGAACTATGGCAATGGAGTATTCCAGTGGACAGTTTTGGGGTGCTTCAGACATAGTCCCTTTGCTCACTGAAGCATCAAATTGCATAATAGATGTATCATTTCTTTTTCCTAACTACTACTAATTAGTGACTCAGGGGCATGTTTGCACAAAGCAACAAAGTACAGGGCACAAAAATATAAGAATAACTGTACCTCCCAAATCAGCATCACTGTTAGGAAAAAGAAATGAAAAATTCATCCCATGTCTTGAATCAAATACATCAGGTCGACACCCAAATTCATCCATGTCTTGAATCAAATACATCAGGTCAGGGACAGGGCATAGTTCACCATTCACAACACCAGGAACATAAAGTAATTCTATCTCCAGAAAGGTGCTAATAATTACACATAATGCAGTACTGCTCAGGCCAGAAGTAGTTGGGTGTTTGCACATCAAATTATTCTAGCTACGCATACACAAAAATATTTAGACCCTACTTTTTGGTTTGCTGCTTTTTTAAACAGCTTTTGTTCTTGACAGTTTCAGATTTCACAGTAGTTCATTTTTAATTTGCAACAAGGATTTGGCTTTTATAAATTCCAGCTTAAAAAAAAGGTTATAATGTACAGGAAAAGTACAGTGCTTTGATACTAAAAACGCCCTGGCTGTTGAGCCTTATGTAAACTAACAGCGGCTGGGCTGACAGTGAATCTACAAGGCACTAAGCAAAAAAACCAAACAGCATTAACCATGGAAACTGGGTAGAATGCAGAATGTAATAACAACTTGTACTGGAAAAGCTACGTCACTTGATAATTTTAAAGATAACATGAGAAAAGGAGCTACAGAGATCTGAGAGAAAACACAACTCTAATTTCGCTCTAGCTCTAGCTCTATCTAATTCAATCTGCTGTACTTTATTATGACTCTTCCAGCTAGTTCACACATGGGAGTACAAGAGTGTAAAAACTGTCCAGCTGGATCAAGTCAAAGGTTTCTCTAGTCAAGTATATGTCTACAACTGTGACAGCAACAGATACCTGTGGAAAAGTACAATAACAAGGCAACCATGGAGTGACACTTCTCCAGTGGGTTTCCACAGGCTTCAGCATCTTGGGGTTCAAGAAATTCCAGAGAACCAGTGGTATCTGTCTGTGTTTGACACCCTCTATGCATTTTTATTCCATTAACTTTCTAATCATTTTTCAACACATCAAAGCCCTGTGGCAGAGAGCTCCAACTTTAGCTGTGTTATAGAAAAAGGATCGCTTGTTATCCCTTTTGAACTTTTTATCTGATAGTTTTCACACTGAAAGAGAGGGCAAAAATAAATAAATAAAACCTCTACTGATCTTTCCCATTCCACTCACGATTTTACAAACCACAGAATAGAACATATTTCCCCTCAGCTGTGCCTTTTCCAGACTGAAGTCCACATTGTCACTCCTTAATTGGAAGATACCTAATGCTCTTGATCACCCTTGCCACCTCCTCCAAACTTTTTCCAATAGTCTCATATCAGCTTTGAGGTGTGGGAACCAGAACTGCATACAGTATTCAAGAAGCAGCACAACATGGTCTTATTAGTAACAGTGACTTCAAGATGCTTTTGCTTTATTCCCTATTCTTTTCCTAATCATTCCTAATTCCATTTGTTTATTTGGCTAGTACCTATAGTTCCAAGATTGTTTTCATAAACAGTAATATCTAGTCCAGAGTCCAACATGGAATATGTAAAGTTTGGATTGTATTTCTCTCTATCTGTATCACTTTACAATTACTTATACTGCGTTTTATATTCCACTTATTCATTCATTCTCTCAATATTGCAAGGTCCTTTGAAAATCCTTGCAGCCTGCTTTCAACTTTTCTATTATATATAACTTAACATCAGCAGCAAATCTCATCACTTTATCTCATCTATTTTGTGGTATTATATATCTAGCTCTCATTATTAACAAAAATGTAATTTGAGAAAGAAATAGTACATGAAAATGAAAGATATTTTTGTAATCCTATATCCTGTTACTTATAGATTTTAAACTTGACAGTTACAGTGCAAGCCTATTTATGTTGGTGCTTAGAAACCTGGATAATTACTAAATAAATTAAACTCTCTGCCATTTCTAAAATGTTGCATATATTTGAAAGTGGTATGCCAACCAATAAATACAGTGCGATATGGAAATTCTGAACCTCTCATGGAAACATTTGCCTTAAAAAGGAATACTTGTTTATGACAGTGAAAGAACTGAAGCTTAAAGTGCAATATGAGAAAGACCCTACACTGAAAGAATTGAGGGATGAGGACTTATATCATGATACTAAAGACATCACTAAAAAAATTCAGTGCAGTGCACTGACGTGGGTAACTGAAAAGTCTCATTCATTTATGCACTAACTTGTTTCTATGCATATACGAGAAAGCTGGTATTTATCTAAACTGTTACTATGGGATCAAAAAAACATGTAAGAGGTCAAATGAACTGAAACTCCACCAACACGCTGTCTCCTCAGGCAGTGTTACAAGGACTACCTTCTGTACTGAAGATACTGGGTTTAAACTAGTAGATTTTCTCTGTACAGTTAACTAGTTCTGAAGTCAATAAACCTGTACAACTGCCTTAATTTGCACAGGGACAGTGAATGGGTTACATCTTGAAACAAAGTGAAGCTATCCTCTTGAATACATAGGCCAATAGGCCTTCTTAGCCGTGGCTATTTCTGAGCCTTAGCTTACATTTATCCCAACGCTCTGCCAAGTAGCCTGCTGAGAGCACGAGAGCCCTTTCCCACTCTTGCAGTTTGTAAACTGTACAAGTCAATGAATTATTGGACAGTTAAAGAGTAGAGCATGGATGGCAGCGTTCTTTACTCCTGCTTCCTTCTTCAAGGCTGAAGTGTCTGGACCAGAGCAGGCCAGGCTCCCCCAAGCAGAGCTGCAGTGAGTCTGGAGACCAGGCCAGGCAGAATTTGCCTGGTGCTCCATGGCAGCCAGGTACAAGGACAACGTTTCCACTGTGGGGCCGCTACATGGCAGTTTGGCTCCAGGCATCACCACCTGCTGTGGGCTGAGGTAATGTCTTCTTCATACCAAGCCAGCCAAACTGGCATGCTTTCTTTCCCTGCTCTCTCTATACGTGGGGTGCTGGGGAATACCTCCCTTCTGCTCTGCCCACTGGGGAGGCTTCCTTCAGTTCTGTATAATCCTTCCACGCATAGTGTGAGGGAATACTACTGGTCTGAGCAGCTCTTCCAGTATGCTGCAAAAACATAGCAGTGCACGTAAGGGAAGAGGTTAGCTCTTTAACAATAGAAATGTTCTAGCCCTGCATTTCTATTTATAACTACAGATAAATTACTGACATAGTGAACACTTTCCTGTGACTCAGATTACACATGAATATACATGAATATACCTTTTCTCCAGGAAGACCAGCAACACCATCCTGTCCTTTGGCACCCATTTCACCCTACAAAATAAATTACTCAGTTAGAAGTTCTAAAGACTTCTGATATTAACTACTGCTTGGGTCATATCTGATTCCATCTGAATCTAAGGAAAAACTTTTAATGTGAGGGTGACTGAGTACCAGAACAGGTTGCCCAGAGAGGTTGTTGGAGATATTAAAAACTCGACTGGACATGGTCCTGGGCAGCCTGCTCTAGCTGACCCTTCCTGAGCAGGGAAGCTGGACTAGATGATCTCTGAAGGTTCCTTCCAACCTCAACCATTCTGTGATTCAACAGAAAAATATTTTCTACCTCTGCAGATCTGTTTGTCATGCTTAATAATGTATCAGTGGAGTGTGGGGCAGGATGCCACATATGTAACAACAAATCAGAAAAATAAATACATTTTAAAACATTTAGAAATTTAGTTTATGTCCTCATCTGCCAAATACTTGCACTTATACATTGTCTTATAAAGTAGTTCTACTGATTTTAAGAGAATTCATTGCAACAGTAAAGTTAGGCCAAGTGGACACCTATTCACTGGGTTGTGTGTTCTACTCCGAGGAAGCTCAACATGTAATAAAGAGTTCATTGGTCTAAAACTCACAGACACACAGTATTTTAAAATGACATTGTTTAAATCCACTCCCTCTTCCCTCTGCCCCCAGAAAGAAACCAAACGCCAAATTGTAAGCAATCTGTCAGAAAATTTTAGTCTTAAAGAGACACAACACTGATTGATCAGGAGATGCATGGAACTTGCCAGCAGCTGCAAATCAGACCATTAGTCTTAACAGTGATTAAGAAAACACTAAACATAAATTTTGCTTAACAGTATCAAGCATGAGAGTTATAAAAAAAACACAGGAGGACATTGGAATACATATTTATATATATATATA